TTGCGCCACCATCACATCGACAAAACTCTTTCTGAACTGTGTGGCGCTTACAGAACAATTGAGGTTCTCTGTGAAGATAGGCGTGATCCTTCTTTCTTTTAAAGCCTGAGATTTACATAGAGTATATCTGAAACAATTTTAGATTCAGAAACATTGTTGTACGCAGACAATCATGTTGACTGAATTTGGGATATCCCACTGGTTGATTGCTTAAATTCCGTTTACATATTAACCTCACAAGAGGTACGTTTTTTTTTTTAAAAAATCTTCACAGATTTGTAACAGTGGTAGTGTCAAACCTGTTGCCCTATAAACATCATTGACAGGTCCTAGATCTCGCCATAAGCTGTATTGTAATGGGTCCATTGCCATTTGATTTTTTCTTTAATGATAATTGTCTTATCTATCCATTTTCGTACTGCTTGATCCAATTTGGGATCGTGGGGGAGTGGGAGAACCAGCAACAGGTACAAGGCAGGGCCCACCCTGGACGGGACATCAGTCCATGCAGGGCAGACAGATACAAAATCAGACAGAGACAGAGACACTAGGGCCAGTTTTCCCCGAAGCCACTTAAATGTCTATGGATTGTGGGAGTAAACTGGAGCACCCGGAGCACCAGGAAACACACGAACATGGGGAAAACATACAAACCTCACACAGATAGCAATCTCAGGAACTGAACTTCAAGGCAGCAATGTTAACTGTGGTGCCACCATGTGCTCACAAATAGCACCTAGTTCAACATACATGTTTTGTTCTAGACCCACAACACAGCCTAGGAATAGTAGTGTGATGTGCTAATGACTAAATGTGTTTCTGCTGAGGGCTTCTGCATTTATAATAACTTTTGAAAACTGGGCACAGCTTTTAATTATAAATTCAAACCTCTGATATCTTCAAATCGAGTAGATGTGACAGTACCTCCTTGCTCATTGCTTTAACTGCTGAAATGATAGAATTCGCCTCTGTGTGGAAAACAAAGCTGACTTCAGCTTTATTTGGGTTGAGGCGCAGTGAAAATACCATTGATAAAGGTTGCTAAAACAGAATTATACTCCCAGAAAATCTTTTTCTGGATGAAATGATCTTTGATTTACATGGGGCAATGAGACTTTGGTTTTGCACTTAATTGAACCTGCCCAGTGGAAAAGCCCAGGACGTGTGTGAGTAGAAAGGCATCAGAGTGCTGCCTGTCCGCACAGCCTGACCTTCCACCCCTTACAAGACGTGACACACACAGGGCACTTGCACTATAAAACGACACAGTCGCCCGTACTTGACATGTAAGCGATCATCGTATTCATCCAAGGGCTGATTTCGTTTCATAAAACCTATCTTGATAAATTGTTCTATCACTTTTGTGAAGTTTAGTTTTTTTAAAAATAAGCAACAGATGCTATGTTATGACACGTTGCTCTGTAAATGCGAGAGAATTGGGAACTTTTAATGTATAAATGTATGTATACAGGAGTTTGTCTCTGTCTTGTAAATACAAGGTGAATGTATCTTCTATTGTTAAAAAGTCAAAGGCAGTCCTTATATTTTCACAAGTGTAGCAGTGTTAGTCTACCTACAGTAGATTAATACCAAAGTCCACCCAAGCAGTGTAGTGTAATTTTAAACTGTTTCTCATGGAAAAAAACCTTTTGTTTGATACTTTGAAATGCCTTTCACTAAGTTAGGTTAAATATGTGAACAATGATGTCACTATTTTTGTAATAGTAATGTATCATGTAGCCAATGACACAATGTCCATCTCATGCGACTTTTAAATGCAGTTGTCGCTGCGATCATTAATTAAGCAAGCGGTCGGTTCTTAATTCAAAGTTAAATAATTTTAAGATAAGTCGCCAAAGGGGATTATTAACATTTTACCACAGCTAATTAAGACACAACCAAACAGGTACATGCCTGTCTCTGCTGCGATATCTTCTTTAAACACGGTACTCAGTAACACAGTTAAAACAGGACCTCTCCATGGCCATCAGGAGATTTCCACATGGAAATCATACTGCAGCTTAAGGACATACATGTTCTGTAATATAAGCACAGCACTTAACAAAATGTGTACTGTATTCATTCAGTGTTGGGTCTATGTTTGCTGAGATCTGTTAAGCATTTAAGAGTCACTGAGGGACCCAAAAGGTGCTTTTGAGTCGGCAGTGTCAGCTACAGTTCTTCTCACGCTGTAGCTGACGAAGACCATTCTGTCACAAAGCATACTGGAGGTTTGACTTCGCTAAATTCACCTGGAACCCCTTCACCAAGATATTTGCAGCTCTTGATCGAATATAACTTGGGCAATGGAACTACCAAGAAATGTATGTATTGTGGATTAAGAAAAGGACTCTGTGCGGTGAATATTGTCCCCGTTTATCCTTGAAAACTCGCTGGTTTGGATTTCAGGCTACTCCACAACGTTGGGCACTACATCACAAGAGAGGCATCAGGGCAAAATGACAACATCGGTCTAAAAAAAAAAGACATGTAAATATCAAACCACTGCCCACTCTGAATCTTTTATCTGCCAAATGTCACGAAAAGCTGTGGTATGTTTATGTTGTATGCTGGGAATCGCAGTTGTTAATAATGTGTTGCAAAGCCGCTGGTTTTGTATTGTTGAACATAACATTCATTCATTTTGTACATAGTCTTTTTTATGAGGAAAATAAATATTTGTATCTAAAATCCCGGATGGTGGTGCAATTTTTCTCATTCACACGCATACACACACAAAATTTGGATATTTACTGTGTACGCCTGTAGCCTGTGAAAAACCCAATCAGCTTGGATTCTTTCTCACAATCATCCCCCCCTCTACGATAGGGCTGAAAAATGTCAGGTACTTTGGATTGCGTACAGTGTTCTTATAAAATTCCAACAAAATACTGTAACGCATACGGCCACCAGTGAGGGTGTAAGAGCCGGCTTACCAGAGCGGTGACGTCACCGCCCTTCCCTGCGATAGCAGGACCCACAGCCGCTGGGCTGGGCTGGGCTGGGGGGAGATCTCTCTTTAGCTCAACAGGCTGGGTCCCTGTTGAGTGATGCCGGAGGCCCGGGTTCGAGTCCCCGACGGTGGGGGGCCGACCTGATGCGGCGGCGGCGAGGGCGCCCACGTGAACCCCGAAGCGTTACAATACTACCAAAGCACTTTCAACTAATAAAAAATTGCTTCACTTGCTTGGTTCAAGTGTTTTTCTGGAGCAACCCACCATCCCTTCTCAATGATGTGCGAAGGACTCACCCACTTCGCCTTGACGGAACGGTTATTTGTGCTGTCAGACATAACATTTCCACAAAGAATGAAAGGTTTTATTAGTCTTAAGACTGGACTGATATTCCAGAAGAGAACAAATTGCTTTGAGCACCGAAGTACTAGTTTCTTGAGGCGATGGGTTTAAAAGACACCTCTTCGTGCAAATTAAGTTCCAACTCTCTTTGTGAGAACTGTGGTTACACATGACAGAGCTATCCTTGTTTTATGCACAAGGATCATGCTAGCTTTGTACAACAAAAAAAAACAGAACCAGAATTATTTATATAGCTTACCACCTGTATATGTTTTCTTTTGTTCAGGAAACATGGAATCTTGAGTGCCAGTGTCTAACAAAAAAAAAAACGAATTGAAAAACTAAAAATCGCTCTTCAGCGATGTTGCAGTGATCATTTTCTACTGTGTTCATGATCCCAAGTCATCCCAGCTTGGACGTGTCTTTTTTGTTGAAGTTGGGGGGGGACAAAAATGTAAACAGTTGCATTTTTAGCTCCTAACAAGACTCCGGCGCGTCTGCTGGAATTGTTTTGGATGAAAGGAGCCATCTGGAGCTCGCAGGTCAGCGCTCTCCGTGCTGTTACACTCCTGCCCCCGCTGGGTCTCGGCTCTTCACCGTACGAGCTGCAAAACCCCACGTCCTCCCTGCCGCTTCTGCGTGCTGCACCCAGGGAATCGGTGAGCTCAGGGACACTGAGGAGGGAAGGACAGAATACACCCAACGATCGGACGAAGCAACAGGGGCTGCGGTCCCCTCAGTTTCCAATGGGCCTCCTTTTCGACGTTTCATCTAACCTCTCGTCATTCATTCCGTTTCCGAAGACCCATCCCTCTCCGCCCCGTCTCATTTGCTCTTCTGGAAGCCCTTGGCTAGATGGGACCCCGGGCGGGCATTCTGTTTCGGGCATCAGAAGAAGCCCCGGTCCACGTGGAGCGTCCTGGCGGATTAGTAGGATGGACGCCGAACTGTAACGGAGCTGTAAGCCACACAGCCGATCCATGCATATCCTGCCTGTGCAAATATACTGTATCGTCTGTTACAGGAAACACGAGTCCTCCCCGATTGAGGCTGATGTTGCACTCTAACGTGCAGCTTTCCCTTTTAAAAAGCCAACCATATTGTAAAAGGTGACCATTTCCCTTCACTGCGCTTAAGTCCAAACAAGACCGCACACCCAACACTGAGGCATCATTCAGGGGTCCTGATGAGGGCTTATTGTTAATTAATATTGATTGTTAATACTCTTATTAATTTGATTTTAGTACTGATTTTAATACTTGTTAATACAGTAGAGAGAGTGTGCACCAAGTTGATTTAGTTACTTTTACACTATTTCAGACACTGAGCTGAATGTTTCACAGAACACCCTTCAGACCTTCTTGGCTTTTGCTCAGCATTAAAATTGATAACTAAAAACAAAACTTCCAAAACGCTACACTTCAATTTGCTGTAAAGACATTAAGTGTTGTGTCTGTTAGTCTAAAGTGTTCCCGTTTCTCCTCTTAAAGTTTTATCATGACCTTCGGTACACTAGCACAGTACTGCTATAGTTTTTTCAAGGTTTTAGAGTTCATTTGTTGCCGACAGTTTCCCATGACTTGGATCAAGAACCCCCCTTCCTTTACCATGCGTTTACTGCTGTCTGCTTTGACCCTGACTACAAACACACCCAAACAGCAGTTCTCTCTCCAGTGCACCCGTTTTAAGAGGAACGGGGTGCACACTACACCCATGCCACAGCATCAATGTCATGTGGGTCACATTCACCAAGGGCTTGACATCGATATTCAGTTAATGGCATGCTATGTCATGTCTCCGATTTCACCCTCAAAGGGGTGTACATGTATGTGCATTTGGAAAGCATTTCATTCAACAAGTTGTCTTTATCAACAATGCCCTTCATGTGAATACTGAAGCCTCTGATTCTTTGCCCCATCAAGAGAATACTCTATGAGTAGAGGCTCAATTCCAATGCACGTCTTTCATGGGGAGGTCTCACTGTATTAAATCACACTGAAGTCCTGTGACCATTTTTGAACTGAAGAACACATACAGTAAACGTTATGACTGGATCGGGGCGTATACATCATGCTGCTATTAATACAGCACAAAAGATCATCCCAACCAGTGCATTTACAATAACACTGGGACCCATGATCTGCGTTTGATTGTACATTGCCACAGATCACTTGTGTCTCTGGCATTTCATTTCATCACTAGCTGATCAGCCTGAAACATTTCTTCCAATGAATAAAAAGGTCAACAACATATCCAGTACAAAATCTAGAAAGTGAATGTATGACTGTTATAACTTCATTGGACCTACTGTAGAGGTAACATAAAACATAAAAGACAAAGAGGCAGAATATTTGAAGGTTTCAATGTTGGTTTATAGGATAAAAGAAATTCCTATGTTCAAAAACTACAATGTCACAAAAAACAGATTACCATACAAAATCTACAAAATGTAACAATTACAAACATTTTGTTCGACAGATAACAATTGTTACAGTATAAATTTATACAATACTGGTTTGTATTTTTGGCACTTGACCACATGATGCGATTGTGTTAAATACAGAAATATTACGCTTGATACCCCATTTGCAAAAAAGCATACAAATGCAAAAAAGTCATTGCAGCAGTTGTTATGTTTTGGGTTTTACTCTTTGTTAGAAAACAGCAGTGGCTGAAAACATTCAGTTTTTCTGACTATAGCAGTACCTCACATAACCAGGACTGGACCTGTGAAATCCAGTATAGGGGATACATCCCAGATTTTTTTTTCCAGGAAAGGAAACAGCTAAAAACTTCTGTGTTCCTGACAAACCAGTCTCTTTCATAAAGAGTTAAGAGGACTGACTGTGAAATTTCACTGGTTCATGAAGCTCTTGTTCCTCGCCTTTCATATATTGGTGTCTGAAGTGTCATTTCTGAACGTCAAAGTCTATTTCTGCTTGCCAAAACAATTTTTCCTTAATCTTTCCTTAACTCTCAAATGTATGGTGTATATATGTATGCATATAAAGTATACAAATTGTTTAATTGACAAACAGCGTACTATATATTAAAACCAATTGCATGCGTGCCATTCAGAACACATCAAACAGCTGAAACTAAAATAATTTAAGAAATTATCTTCAGGCTTAAGTTTAGTTTAGTTTGAAAAGATATAAGATATGTTCATGACAAATTCATGCTTGCCCATCTCTGCTTTAACATCAAAGTGCTACCCTGCGCAGTGGCATTTATACCTGAAGTGATAATGAAAACCCCACCTAACGCAAGTTAATATGCACTTTTCTAACAATAGCACCATTGTGCTTTAGTAAAGAAAAATTAAAGTGAAACAATTGTGTCTTGGTAACTAATGGTATTTTTGTGGTAGTTATTTTAATTCAATGGCAAACAAAAAAACAGTTAAACATTTTTACACCTTATGACAAGGACTATCCTGATCCTTATTCAAAGCACAGTATATACACACAATTCTACTTCTGTAAGCAGACAAATATCAGATTCATTGCTGGCAACACCTGATGTTACTTCCAGAAAGAATTGTTAAATCAACAGCAGTAGGGGTTAATGTGGTCTTCATCAGAGGATAACCTGTAAGACTACTTGCCTGAGACACAGAGTGTACAACAGCAGATGCATAGTTAAATGCATGGTCCACTATTTTTTTAAAAATAGTTGACATAACTCCAAAATGTCCTGCACAATGCAAATATACTGGTGTACATTAAGTTTATGGTAATTGGAAACAGAAATTACCACAACTGATAATTAATTTTTAAATACTTAAAATGAACTGCTTTCAAAGTAGTAAATAATATCATCACACAGACTTATATACAGGTCTACGATATCATGTATATAAATATCTATTATCTTTCTTTTCGTTCTCTCTTTACACACACACACACATATACGCATGCACAAATGTGTAATTGTACCGTAATGACTGCAACACAGCAAATTCATTCCAATATTACGTAAAAATAAAACTCTGGCGCTTTTGTATTTTACCCAATGCTTCTGACCTGGACAAAGCTTTGTCTTTTTCTCTCAGCTAAAGTAGTAAGGATTCCCTGCGCAGCAGTCGGCAGGTGAGGACAGGTTATGCTCTCTCCATGCTCTTGTCTTCAGTGCTTGTTTGTAGTTTTTCTTCATCAGTTCCCTCCAGGGAGGTGGCAAAAACCCAACACAGGCCCGGAAGCTAACCCAAACAAGCACTGAAAATAAGAATATGGAAATAAAGGGTTAAACCATTTTGCAGAGATTAGGATCAACACGTGCAGACGCGTGGGCTCATCTGAAGCTTGCCGACTCCCCCCCAGCTCTGCACTTCTAAATTAATGCATTCAGCATTAAATTACGGCTGTAAGGAGCTGCACTCTCAGCCTGATGAGTGCAGCTCCCATTCTGAGGGGCAGGGATCCTGTCAGGCTCTTGTGTGGAATGACCTGCCACCCTAAAAAAGAAAGCCAGTTTCAACTGGTCACGACCCTAAAGAAGAATATAACTCAAGGGGTATTTAAGCTGTTATCAAGAAATAGTTAATCTTGCCTCGTAATGAGTAATATTTTAAAACGATTTATAAAAGTAGCTGTATTTTTTCATTGCACTAAATTAAATTCGGCAGCCTATTTCGTCTACTTCATACCACATTTACTGTATGAAACCAGACCAAACAATCTTACAGTTCACAGTTATCTGAGCCCATGATTGCGAGCTTAGGTTTGCTAGTTTTAGTTTTTAGAAATCTCTGGTAAGGTGGTACAATTGAATGCATTTGAAATGCCCATGTATACAACTTTAAAGTTTTTTTTTTTATCATAGTACTTTGTCAAAGATTTCTCGAAGTATTAAAACCTGAGGAAAATGCTAAATAAGGCAACGCAAGGCGCAAGGATTCAGTACTGGGAATAATCCAACTTGTTTCTCAAAGGCGTAAATCAAAATGCTGTAAATTTAGTGAAAGTAAAAAACAAAATACAGCTAGAAGCTGCTCATTAATGTTATTTACTTCTCATCCATTCATAAACACAACATTGGGAGTTGATGTAGTTCCAGTAGGGAAGTAAGTTAAAGGTTTATTCCAGGCTGAAAAGAGAAGAAAGGAAATAACGTTTCGGCTGTGGAGCCTTCATCAGGTGTGACCTTCGGTAACCCAAACCATCACACCCGAAGAAGGCTCCACTTCCCAAATGTTGTGTTTCCTTTTATTCTCTTTTCAGCAGGGAATAAAACTTTTAACTTGCTCCATCGTGAACTGATGTTGAACTGAAACTGCTGTCTAGCTCTCTTTCTGGGTGATGTGAAAAATAAAGCTGATGACTTCTTATATGGAGGTAAAGGTGCTTTCTTGACTTCTTATGAAACACAACAAGAGCTGTTTTTTCTTATCAGTCTCTCTGGCTTGTGAGTACAGCCCTGTCGAGACCACATTTTCCAGAAACCTCTGGGGGGCGGGGGAAGGATGATGGAGACTCTCAGTCACGTAATCAGCTGCTGGTAGACAACTGGACGGGTGACTGTTTTAAAAACAGGACGCAGAGGTTTTCGGTGTCAGTGAATGGAATGATATATATACAGGTCACAAAAAAGCCTCATTTGTAAGTAGTCAGATAGTCTTCTCTCCAGGAGCAAACATGTGATAAGAACTCCATCCTTCCCTTGCCTATATTTTTTATAATAATGACAACTCATATTTACATAGATATTTAGGAACAAAATCTGGCTATGACAATGTACGTCTGGCTATGTCAATGTATATTTCAGCCAGTTATGTCACATACTGGCATATCTACAGAAAATCTAAATTTTCAGCTTCAGGAAACAGAACGCCATTTACTACACAGATTCCCACAGAAAACCGTGATACACACTGTTTTCTGATATTTTTTCCAAGCAATGTGTTGTTGCTTGTATATTACACAAGTAACAAACGGAATTTATAACAGTCTGGGTGCAGCATGCCATTCACAGAAATGACAATTAGTCAGACAAAAGTACCAAAAACTACACAACTGAATTTACAACAGCAAGACCTCTAGTGTACAAATATTTCTATGCTCAACCACATAAAAGCAACAAAGCATAAACACACTGCTAGAAATACCCAGGGTAAAGCATTTTCTTCAATTACCTTTTCTTCATTTCATGTCAAAATGAGTATCTGTATCTTGTGGCAGTGCTCTTGCATTATTACATCTGATTCTTATAATGTCATTGTGCACAGGGCTCCATGTACATACAGCAGGGTCTGTGGGGTTTCGTGTTACAGTCCTTGAAGAAAACATCTCAACACCCCTAACAGAATGGGTGACAATACAGTATGTACGAAGGTTCTGGATATGTTCTTACTCCACTGTTCTTTCACTGTGCCCTACACAGATACCAGAGGGGTTTGTGCCTTGGCACTGGTATAGCAGTACCTATATGTTAAGTACACTTTGGCTACATAATTTAGCAGTAAATCAGAAATACAACAAATCACTGATAAAAGAATAAAATAAAATGATAATCCCTGCATCTATTCCTCACTACACTACTGACAGGCCAGAGTGCAGAACACTAACAACGCATACAAAGCATCTGGTCAATAAAACTTCTCTCAGCATATATTGAAGGGCTTTTTCAACATACTGTATAGTAATTCTCAGATATTTCAGAAAGGTGGCCCATGCAGGCACAATGAATTGATTCCATTTATCTTGTTAAGTTAGCTCATACGGTACGTTCATCTTCTTATGGTGTTACCCTGTTGCCGAGCGCTCCAATGTGCCTCGTGTGCGCAATGATATTTCCACCTCTCAAGAATTTTTCAAGTGATGTAAAAACTAAGCTGCCATTTAACCTAGCCCTGGCATTCGTCTCCTGAGTCTGAACAAAATTCAGTTCTCTCACCCCATCAATCCCTTAAGAGTTCAGATTCAACTCCAATGCCATCCAATTCTATTCAGCTGCCATTCCTAATCTGAGAGCAACGAGAGCTTCCCATCACTGCAAGCCAATCATAACTTCAGTCCACAAATATTGGATATCTGTATTATAATATGAAGGCTGGCGAGATCAACCAGCAAATTCCCCAAGGAGGCCTCAGAGCGCCAAAAAACACATTCTACGTTCATGCAATAAACAATACACGATGGGCACATTACTATTGAGTTAAAAGGTGACACCCAGCCTTAAGTCATCATCTTAGTATAATGGACCATAGGGTCTAGATGAAATATCTGGTTCTCTGCATTTCATTGGGCAAAGCCCAGCAGGACCCAAGCCATTCACTGAAACCTGATTAGCCCACAGTCAGCATAAGGCATGACTGTCGCAACATATGGGAAAAAAAACTGTTATCCTGTAACAGCTACCCATTGAAACATTACTTTCTCATTAGGATCGGATACACTTAACCAACTGATCACAAAAAAAACATTCATTACGGAGGCTGAGTGAACCTCTATTAGTTCATTTATATAATGATAATAGATGTACACCATATTTCCCTAGTTTACACTTGAATCATACAATTTACTGGTTATGCAAACATGCACCAAACCTTGAAGGCTGGATGAAATGGGTAATACATGTAAATGGGAAATGTTGCATAATAAACTTTTGAGGAAACCGCAGAAACTGAAAGCAGTTTTCATTGGACCTCAGACTGATTTTTGCAATGCCTGCAAACAGCACAATGATTTCTCTTTGAGGTGAAAGACTGTTGTTTTCCTTCACGATGCGGCACTTCTGACGATGTGTAAATCTCAAGGAAGGGGGAAAAAACAAGGAACGTGAACTCTCTTGTGTTCCTCCACCCCCCCTCTAGTTCTGCGTCTTGCACATCATCAGAGCTCTTAAACACAGTCCAACAGCAACCAAATCCTAATCCTAACACACACAGTAACCCTTGTCATGCACTCAATAAAGAGATTGTAAGGCTAGGTTTTAAATAGGGCAGCAGGGAAGATTACAGCAGTGCAATTTCATTGTGAGTTAATACAGGACAAGACAAGCACCATGCTCACAGATTGATTCATGAACAATAGTCAGAAGTGATGTGCCTTCTGCAAGGAAACCTACACTTTCACAGGCTCGTAATGTATAGCAACTGTGACTGTGTGAAAATCATAAAGTTAGGTATGTTAACTGTTGAGTGAGGCAACACCAGGATTACTATTCACTGCTAGAATTTTTTTACTCTTTTCTTTCAGTGGAATTGATGATTCCAGACTCCAATATTGTCAATTCCAATTCCACTGACAATTTTCTAATCTCCACTGTTTCCTCATTCCCCACTGGGTCAAATACTGTGTTATTTGGAACTGACCCCAACCCTGTCAGGTTGTAACTTATTTTCAGAAACTCTGCGCCATTTTTTTCCAATGTAATTTAAGCATACACATGCAGTTTCCGTGATCTAAACACAATTTCCTTTCTCCAAACCATAAAAACAACAAAACAGATGCCCTATAGGAACATCGCACCTCAGACTGGCCGATTACTTGCCTGGTCACAGCTGGTCAGAACAGACTTGGCAACACTGGTGGCGACAGGAAACAGCACTAGGGTCTGTACTGCCTCACACCAAGCTGATGTACAAAGTTATTCTATGAACTTTTCAGACAGAACAGATGGCCACTCAGCCGATCTAGTCCATTTATTTGTTAGAAGTTACTTGAGAAGACCTCATCCAAATGTTTTCTTGAAGTTCAGTTAGCAGGGCGTCATCCTGAAATACTTGTCTGGGTACCTTGTTCCATACTCCTGCAGCCCTTTGTGCAAAGACATCTTGTCAATGACCTGTGTCCTGCCTAACTTTCACCACACTCAGCACTACGTTTCAACCAAATTCACAAAGTCATTTCCCTTGTTTGCAGCTGCCTGTGTAAAATTACCTACTGCGCTGCACTTCACTGACGATCAAATGATTTCAACAAAAATTCTACTAATAACCTCCTTTGAGGTGACTCCTTTCCTTACATTTTGCATCATGCACAGCACCACTGTGTGAAACAAGTATGATATGATCCTACCAGATTGTTCTATGTCTCACAGCTGTCCAGACAAATAATCCTACCACAAATGTTCTGCATGACTGTACAGGAAGAACATCAAACAACTTCTTCCAGTTTTTGACCCTACTCTTAGATGAACAGGCAGAAGGCAATGCTATTTCAATGTGAACATTTCTGGAGTCACTCAACACCTGACATCTGGATTATTAATTTGTAGCCTGCATTTCAGGGTGGATTTCAGTCTTTATTTTTAAATGTGCTGGATTCTTTCCTCCAATTCAGTGATCATTAACACTGCTGCATCGGATCAAAAGCACCCTGTGCAACATTGTAGGACTTGATTTAAATCTGTGCTTATGGTCTTCTGTGATTTTACCAGTCTGTATTGCAGCTGTTTCATGCTGTCTTATTCTGTGGCAAGATTACAAGAATAAAAAGTAAAAATATCTTTATCTGCTGTACACAGTAGCTTCTGAAACCATACTACACTGTGAGAGAACATACTAAATCTTTACCTAACTACTTAAAACATTATCTACAAAGAGAAAAAAAAAATTCTGGTTAAATCTATACCATTTCAGTACCGGTAGCTAATTGAAAGGATTGAGCACTGCAGAAATACTAACTGTAAAAGAGGACAGCTAAAAACCAATCCTGTAGATCTGGGTTTTCTCCATGTGCAGTGCAAAGACCCGGCGCCTCAAGTCTCTGCCTACAGACGTGGAGAGCAGAGAGTTCTCTGAACATCCGGCCCTGCGACTCTCAGCGTGACTGTGATGGCAGGGTCCGGCTTCGTTCTCTTTCTGCTTTCTGTTTCCATCCTTGCTTTGGGTGCTTGACCGGAAACCCCGATCACCGAGAGAACGGTCAACCCCGCGTTACTCCCCGCTCCCCATCCTGCATTGCAGACAGCGCAGAGACGCAAAACACCTGATGGGAGAGTCGCTCCCAGACCCTCCGCTGGATGAGCGGGGTTTGCTTGAGCCTTACAGAGGCGATGTCACCACTGACGATGGGATTTTGAAAAATGCAAACAGAAAAAAAATAAACCACCAAACAAAAAAAAAAATTAATAATAATTACAATCCATCTTCTGCCTTGTGTCTAGAACTGGCCGGCACTGCTGGGGTCGCACTGCAGCAGACGCACTATGGAGGGATCACTCTTGGCTCCTCTGATGAACTCCTCCAATGACAACTTGCCTGGAAAATAAAAATGCAGAATAAAAAAAAACGATTAGTAACGAGCACATTTTCATCTGGCGGGGGGAAAAAAACTGCTTTGTCCTTCCTAGTCAGAGCTTTTTTGTTTTTGAACACTGCCTCAGCAGCGACCCCTAGTGGATGAGGGAGGAATGGAGGATGCCCAGAACACTGCCCTCCCAAGATCCCAGCGCACACTGGAACATCTCCGCCTTCGCCACATGACCAGCTCCCCTTACCCGTTATGCCACAGTTAATAAACTGGCTATCATTAAACGAGTGTGGTGTTACTGGAGAGTCCATCAGACAGGGCAGAAGGCAACAACATTAAATAAAGAGTATAATTTAAAGTAAAGGAAATTAAGTTACAATTGCAAAATGCACTAGGAAGATCTCATTTAGATAATATCGTGCAGCTTTACCAAAGTATATTGCTGCGCTGGAATCAGTCTAGAGAAGAGAGACTGGATACATTCCTGGTCTTAAGGTCTTTTACCGACAGCCTAAAAAAGCAGAACATTTTGTTCTGAGCATGAAGACGACAAAAGGACCCGATGCAAGAATTCACGGCCCTCAAAGGCGCTGACTTAATCAACCCAGAGGTCGCCCTCAGAGCCAACGCTGAAATAAAAAAACAGTTCTGGGAGTCTGGGACAAGCTACCCAGTCATGACAATACTATCACTTACTTCTGGAAACAGCTATTAAATACTACTGCAACCAAATCAGCTATGTGGGCCAAATGTAACCTCTTGTTTGTCACCTATCTTATGGTTTTATCAAGCAGCTCAACTCACAACATCACATTGCTCAACTAATCTCACCGACCCAATAAACGCTACAGAATTGTAAATGAATGGTTAGTTCTTTACTTACTGCACAAGTTCATGTGCTCTGATTTGGTAGAAACGACACCACAATTGTTCCTAAACAACCGGGATTTTTCTCATGCTGTGGAACAAGATCCACAGCATGGATCTGTTGTTCAATCAACTACTGTACATTCGTGCACTGAAGAAACACTGAGCAGCTTGCTTGTAAAGGAAGTGTCATTTACCCATTGTGATTATCTGAAAAACAAGGTATTTTATGTTTGCCAGTTAAAAGAAACTGCAGAGCTATACCAGCAGGTGGCGCTCTCTGGCTGTTTTGGGCATTCAATAATTCTTCTACCTATGGATGACACTTCTTGCTCTACCTGTACCTTCATCCAAGAACCCTGCCACAAAACCCATTTGGTGAACCCCCTACTGACCCGATTCAAATCGCTCGACAGCATCAACTGGACAGAGCGAAGTCTTAGTAGAGCTCTGTTCCCGAAAGCATGAGACGCTGCAGATCTTGAGTGGCTACCAGTTTTAGAGCTGCACGTGTACACCTTCTAAGGTAAGACGATCTTTAAAAGCCAGATAATGACCAGGTTCCACAATCTTCCTTTGTGGAAACTTCAAGGGCTGTTTAAATGAAGGTCTTTCCTGTTCCTTCCTCTGCCCTCAGAAGCACCAGATTCGGAAGAATCCTTCAAAATACAACTGGATGAGATCCGTGGAACCAACAGGCTACTAGCAATGGAAACACGGGTCCAATGACAAGTTGATGTAATGTCATGTAAAGTTTCTTTTGCTCTCTAAGGTGTACGTCCATAGAATGGAAAGTGACAACAGACAGCAACGAGCCACTCTCAGGTATGAATGCAATACAGAGATGAGACCTGACCAGAAGGAATGGGAAAATTCAAGTGTCAAAGCTCTTGTTGAAGCACATTAAATACATAGTCACAAACAGGAAATACAATGCCGCCACCACTGATATTAACCATGGGGCTGTTGGAATTGAGATGCCTTGTGGAGAGAGGACCTTACCATCTCGATTGGTATCCATCTGCCTGAAGATCTTCTCCGTCCTCTTCTCAGGGGTCGACTCATCCTCAGGCATTTTCATCACCGAGGAGACCATCTTGTAAATTGCCTGGGGAGAAAAAAGCACGACAGGGGCAGAGATTATTGTCTCTGCTAACAGTGTGCAGTGCCCCTAAACCAGAACCTGCGATAAATAGACATCAAAGGAACTAACAGTGCAAGGACATCAGGCTGCAAACCCTGTGTGTTTCAGTGAAATCATTCCACTGTGGCTTTCCACACAGGAAACTAATAACCACAAAAGCTAACAAAAATGCAGAGCCACCCATACCGCTGTTCAATCAGGCTTTTACAAATTACTGCTATTACAGTTACTACTATTAGTCACCATACAAGGTTTCTAATGCACCCTGTACATTAGAATAACAGTTTCACGAGAATGCTATTAGATGAAAAATAGCATCTATGTAGGTAATTTTCTGAGTGGTATCAGCTAAACATTAAGCTGTATTAAGTGAGAAGTTCATAACTTTATAGAAATCTACTGTTAACAAAGATGGTCATTTGGCAGTGTCATGATACGGCTCTCTTCTTCTTCTGGTTATTCACCAAGCTTTCCTATTAATGTAAACAGAAGTTGACATCAAGGCTGTTACTACAATGTTATAGAAATGACCCTGTTATTACAATGTGGCCTTATCAGCTTACCATCATTCACACTCGGATGACTTTGTCATCAGCACAAGCCCTGATTGCACTTTCATTAGTCTGTTTCATTGAAAGCCCACCCCCACCCCCATCCCCAGAAAGAAGAAAGTTAAATTTTGTGCCAAACAGCAAAAATACAAGCCTGCATGCAAAGAGAACAAAAAAAGGCTTGGGACAGAAAGTCAGAAACTCTGATAAGCAACACTCTCATAGGCTTTACAAACAATGAGAGGAATCTACTGTGCAGGCAAAACAAAATGAGCAACTATACTGGTTTGGATAATACAAGGATGCCGCATTTCAAGCAATGTCCAAGTGACATCTTTGTCCAGGTTCTTCCATATACAGAGGGGTGTATCCTTCGCCTTCTCTGGAACACACAGTAGATTTGAATGGCTTTTTTCCTCTTCCAGAAGGCTGCGGTTCTGACTGTGCTCGAAGTGAGATATACTGGCACGTGACTTTAAACGAACTCCAAGGGAGAAAGGTAGGGGGTGGTTTTGCGGATGCGAGCACAGTGCTGTATCCGGGGAAGATGGGGGTGTCCCTCCTTCCAGCTTGCTTTGCGGCTGGCTACGCCCATTTCTGTGTTTGTGCCACCGGGACCTGGACCATTCCCTGCAGACGGGGGTGGATGGGCCGCTGTCACCTGCTTTTCTCCACAACCGCACATCAGCTGGTGCCGAGCTGCAGAAACTCCGGTACATCAGAGGTGCCGGTCTGTCAGAACTCCACAGGCTTCAGCGGCCCAGTCATCTTCCATGGGCTGGAGTCCACAAAAAGCTCCGTCCAACGACAAGTCTTCGGGAGCCAGATGTGTGTTGGATTTGACAGGCTGTACTTTTGCTCCTGTTGGCTGTGTTTCATTAGCTGACAGTGGTCCTTTTGAGCCTGCCCTGTGGGTGCCCTTCTGTCTCCTGACGTAATACATGACAGATGTCTGGGGTGACGCTCGGCAGCTGTAAGACCATTGCCATTAAAATGGGTGATGGACTTATGAACAGGTCTGTTTCAGAGACAAAGAGCTTGAAAGCAAAATCTAACGCACAACATCTGGTAACTGGACAGATAATTGCCTGCAACAGTCTAATTGCAGATCTGATGTCTTCACAAGTTATGGTTTCCATTTACATCCTTTACACAGATGACTGGATGAGTGCCAGGAAGCTCCATCATTTTCAGTAGTGCTAATTTCAATCTGCACAGGTACATCTACTAGACACGAAAAAGCTAGTATACAGCAAATATCTGAATACATGCACTGCTGCACTACAGTCTTAAATATCTTTGACATTTGGACATAATCAGGAGTTATAATGCTAGAAAGCTTCTATCAACACCATTTGTTCCCATCTAGACACCAATAAAGCCAAAAAGTCTACTCTTTGCACAAGAAACCAATATATAAAGATTGTTAGCTAAAAGCAAAACGGTCAAGATTTCAGTAGAAGACTGCCGCAGAACTGAGCTTCTGCATGTCGAAGAAACCGGACTTAAACAGCAAAACAATGCAAAATATCAAACCTTTGTACAATGGTATGTATTTGCAATTATTGCATCTTCATTAAATAATGTACAATATATCTGTAACACCGCCAGCATTCTCCATTAGCCAAAGCCAGAGAGATGCCTTGTTTCACTGGGTGGGAACATGGTTATGTGTCTAACTGAAAGCAGTGCTTGTGTGCATTATTGTGTCTCCAGCAGACTGAAGATCAAAGCGCTGTATCTCCCCCCCACTGATAGTGGATGTGTTGTACACTTTCACTGCTGTGGCACCATCCAGGTAGGGACTATTCATTTGTGGTGGTGAAGGGGAGTCCCCATCACCTGTCAAGAGCTTTGAGGGGAGTGTCCAGAGAAGCACTAAATAAGAATAAGGAATTACCCCTCCTACTCCTATTACCATCACCACGTATCACCATTCCTGCCATGTTTATTCTGTCAATCTGCCAGTTTGGCTAAATCTGACAATACTTGTAATACAACATAAAAAAATGTTACAATTCTAGGAGCTGTGGCGTGGGTCAGCAGGTAAAAAAGGGGCACATCTGGAACCCTAAATTTCAGATGCTGAAGAGGAGGGGAATAACAATTAGTGATTGCACAATGACAGGATATAAATTGGACAACGGCAGCGATTCTAAATTCGAGAAATCTGGAGCAGGTACATACACACGGACATAAAAGCAGCAGCCTAGCTGAGAAACAAAAAGCCATGTCGGACTCGTCTTGCACAAGTGACGCTCTAACAGTTTTGTACTGGAGCCAATGCCTGTTTTAGCTCGAGTCCTGAATCGAGGCCCACAGGTCACACGTCTTGAAAGGAAGCACAGGGTGGTTTCAAGATGCCAAAAAGAGCAGAGGCTGTCCTGCACCATCACAGCCACCTCTCTGGGCTGCAGCGATGGAGCTCGGCAGGCCTGCTGCTCAGTCTTCGTCTCAGCGTGCAGTCGCTTCCTGTCCACACTTTCGTGTCTAGCGCCTTGGCGGCTCAGGGTTTTTCCCCCCGATTTTGAGTTTTGACCGTCTCTCGGTCTACTGACGGATGTCTGAGGCACTTCTTTTCTGATATTGTTTTCTTTTTTGCCTGGATCGATCTTGTTTAAGAAAAACTTTGCCAAAAAACAAAATTCGCTCACTACCCCTGAAAACAGAAGTGACTTATAAAAGACGGCTCATTTTAAAAAGTTACATAATAGTGCCTTAAGCTCTCATTATTCAGAGAACGTGCTCCGTTAATAAACTTATTAACCAGAGTAGCCTTCGTTTATTTCATTCTGACACAAACACCTTCCTTGAAGTCAAGAGAAGGTCACAGAACTCAGAACTCAGTGTTCTATTGCAAATATTCGTAAGATGAAAACAAAGATGAAAAGTAGCCAAAAATGTAGCTTTGCAGGAAACTCACCAAGAACAGTTTTAAACCAGACTTTAAGGAAAACCAAGCTGTGAAACACCAGACGGACAAGTTGAAGCTATGGCTACAGACCGAACTTTGAATCACGACTGACTGCTACACAATAAGCAATGAGTCCTGCCCCAGCTGGACAGGGCAAGGACCCTCCTGACCCAGAGGTGAGTCAGTGTCCGTCACCCCACACGAAATGGTGGAGCAGAGGGAAAGGAAACGGACATAAAAAAACGACCGGGGATCCACAACAATGGGTAACAAGCATGTAGATAAGCGTGAGCACAGAATTTCAAGAACATAGTCAACATCCCATATACAATAACAACTAGATGGACATGCTCACAATAAGGTCCTGGGCGATGAGTTGCGGTGATGAATGGGGACGTCAACAGGGTGACACCAAGCTATCTGAATGTTCATATGAACAGGTATGGAAGACCTCAAGTGAGGTCACGCGACAAAGGCACGCAACAGCTCTCCATCTCAGGCGTGGAAACAGCAGGGCACTCTCTTTACTCAAGAAAATGACACAGGTCATCGTTTCTCTACATGGCTGGCAGAGCACAGCGTTTCCTCTCAATGTACTTTTTAAGGGCAGGTCGGCACCTTGTGGTTCACAGGGTGTCCAGGGTTGTCATGTGCCTTGAAGGGAAAAGTAAGGCAGTCCTGAGGCACAGCAGCTCACTTTCCAGAGCCATTAGCAGGTGTGGAACTTTACACTGAAGGCACGTCTTTTGAGGGGAAACACTTGACTGTCAGCACTTTGTGGGGAAGGAGCTGGAAGTGTTATTAAGCCACTCTCCTTTCAGAAACTCTTATAACGGGCAGAATTCCTGTCTCACCAAAGAGACGGCTGTATTATTATTCTGCCTAACACCCTTCTTTGTCATTTCCTCTGAAACGAGCAGCATCGTTCATCAGAATGAAACGCAAGGCCTTTGAATAAGATATGTAGAACAGCTCGTCTACTGGGAGTCCATAAATGTAGATTAATGCACCCTTTCCAGCTGGGAAAACGTGGTCTCAGAGGCAGTAATTGGTTACATGCAGTTTTAATGGGTGATTCATACGTCACGCAACGCTGTCAAGACTACCGTGAAAACTAGAGAGCCTGTGGGAGGCCAATGACAAAGGGAAGTGTTCTGTGGCAGCAATGCTTGCTGAGGCACTGTGTGACCACCAGAGGGCAGCATGTCTGGGTTTTGTTCTTACTACCTGACAAACGAGTAATTCAATGTCTATCTCCAAGACAAAGTAAACTGGAAAGTCAAGGTATGATCTTACATCCCTCCAGGCTAGGAGAGTGTTGTATATTACAAATGTATCTAAAAGATGTCTCAATTGACTTAAGTCATTGATTTAGGGTAGGGATTGAATGGGTAATGGCTAACATACTACTGATTCCATATTAAACCAAAGAGAATCACATCTACTTGGACGCCAACTAACCATCTGTTTTATCTGAGCAGCCCAATAGTGTAGTTGAA